GGACGTGCCTCTCCACGGGCCGGCGCCGCCGCCCTCCCCCTGCGGGACCCGGCGCACGGGGGTCCGCGGAGTCACTGCTGCCGGCGGCGCTCAGCACCGTTTTTGGCTGGGCTGCATCGGGCTGAGAGCCTCCGGCCGAGGAATCTTTGTGATCGAGTGGGTGAGAGGGAGAGGGAGCGGGAGCTAGGGCGTCCAGGCACCGCGGCCCAGACTTTGAGGGGGGGCCCATTGGCAACCCGCTGCCGACAGGCCAAGACCCCCGCCCTGTAGGGAGCTCCTGGCCTCCGGGACTCTCCAGCCCATACCCGATGCACACCCCCACCAGGATACAGTCTCCACATCCAGACCCACTCAGAGACACACCCAAAGACACACAAAGAATCACACTGGCTTGTGGCCCGTCACCCTCACCCTCAGACTATGCACACTGCATCCCAGATGCACAGTCGCACACCATCGCGGACGCACACACACATTCCATCCCTGACGCACACACATTCACGGTCACACGCTCATTCCACAGGGGAGGCAACCCAGGGGCAGGCGTTGCCTGCCCCAGACAGTCCCAGGCACTCCCCACACCCCATCCAGGCACACAGGCCACCCTGGGGGTCCCAGGGACACACGACTGACCCACACTGTGCTGAGCTGCTTGATGGCTCCTCCGGGAAAGGCAGGGTCCTGGGGACACTTGCCCGAAGCCTAGCTTGCCCAGGCGCCGGGGCAGATGGGAGGCCACCCCGGGCCCTCCCAGGGTCCGAGGCGGCTCCGCCAGGTGGCGGGCAGTGCCTGTGAGTGCCACCGTGAGCACCAAGCTTTGTTTCCCTCCCTGTAGAGCAGCAGGCGAGAGTGTATGGGGGTGAGTGTTGTGCGTGTGTTTTTTCCTTTAAGGGGGAAGAAATTAAATAAAAGATTCTCACACCTCGGCAATATGTTTCTACTTACGGTGTGTCTTAGCACCTGACCAGCAGGCGGGTGGGTCGTAAAATGTCTGCAGGTACCAGCGGGACAGGAGACAGGGACCCCAAGGGGACCCCGGAATGGGGGCCACCCTTCCGCCTGCTTGCAGAGAATCTCACACTTTTGCCTTTTAAAACACATGGTGTTCCTTTTTAATAACGGCAGTGCCTCCAGATTGGGAAAGGGGGAAGGAAAAAAACTTTTAAAGGCCCCAGCTTTGCGGAAAAGGAGGGGAGGAGGCAGTGAGTAAAGGGGGGGGCTGTCTAAAAGCCCAGCCTAGGGATCTGCTTTAGGGAGCCCTCCAGGAGGCCCTCCAAACCAGGTCAAAGGCCCCCCCCAGGCTCAGTGGGCTGTTCCCAGCTGCTCCTCCGCCTGGCCTGGAATGTGTGTGTCCCTGTCCTGAATGGGTTGGCCCATTGTTTTTGGAGGCCTGGAGGGAGAGCAGAGCCTGCTGGACCCCAGGGCTGGGGGGGGGTAGGGTGGCCTGTAGTCCTCATAGTCCCTGGGGGCTACAGGGTGCTGGACCTTCTGGCCATCACAACTCATTCATCTCCCCAACAGGTAGAATGTACTCCTCCCATTTTATGGAGGAGAACACTGAGAACTGGAGAGGGGAAGCCGGTTATCCAGATGCTCTCTCTGGGCTTGCACTCGGATCCCAGGAGGAGTAAGCTCCCCTGTGACCTTCCTGCTGGGGATGAGGGGGTGGGGCACTGGCCTGTCCAGGCCCGCCTGGCCTTGCCCTCCTCTCCCTCCCACCCCCCTCAGCCCCAGGAGGGCAGCTGCAGCTGCTAGTAAGTGGACCTCGCCAGCCCAGGCCAGGCGGGTGTGGCAGAGGGGCAGTGCCCCCCAGCTAGGACCCCCCCAGAGAGCCCCTTCCTGGCTCTGCTGCTGTGGCGGGGGGGGGGCAGGGGGGGGG